GGGCACAATGGGACCAGTGAAGCTGGAAGATGGTATTCTTGTCTGGAGATGGGAACCTGCAGATGGAAAAGTGACGACAGTTATACTGAGAAAGTTACGGGAAGTTATGCTGTGTCAATCCCATTATAGTTTAACAGGAGGACATCTCGGAGTTAAGAATACATTGAGTCACCTACGACAGAGATTTTACTGGATAGGTATGAGGCAAGATGTGGCAGAATGATGCAGGACCTGTAGTATATGCTGTGCTAAAAGGGGACCCAAACATGAGGGACGTACTCCAATGAAGTTATATCAAGTTGGTTCACCAATGGAAAGAGTATCTGTTGACATTGCTGGTTATTCGCCCCAAACTCGTGCTGGAAATAAGTACATTTGTGTGGTGATGCATTATTTCACCAAGAAGCCTGAGGCATATGCAATACCAAATCAGAAAGCTACAACTGTAGCTTCGGCTATTAGCGATTTCATCTTCTTCAGATTTGGTATGCCATAGGAACTGCATTTAGATCAAGGCCGTAACTTTGAATCAGCTGTGTTCCATGAAAGGTGCAAGTTGTTAGGCATACGAAAGACCAGAACAACGCCACTTCACCCACAGTCTGGTGGGATGATAGAAAAGTACAACCGGACACTGGAACAGGAATTGGCAAAGTTTTTGTAATAGCCGCCAAGATGACTGGGATGTCTTACTCCCTTCACTGTTGATGGCCTATAGAACAGCAGAGCATGAAACCACTGGATACACTCCAGCAAAACTGATGTTTGATCTGGAACTTCGATTGCCAGTGGATCTGTTAACAGAACGCTCACCTTACGAAGAGTTGCCTGAAAATGTGTCAGAGTTCGTAAAAGTGTTATCTGAAAGGATGGATGATATTCACCATCAAGTGCATTCAAACTTGCAAACGTCTGCTAATTTCATGAAGCTATGTTTGTTTGTTTGTTTTTTGAATTTCGCGCAAAGCTACACGAGGGCTATCTGCGCTAACCGTCCCTAATTTAGCAGTGTAAGACTAGAGGGAAGGCAGCTAGTCATCACCACCCACCGCCAATTCTTGGGCTACTCTTTTACCAACGAATAGTGGGAGTGACCGTCACATTATAACGCCCCCACGGCTGAAAGGGCGAGCATGTTTGGTGTGACTGGGATCCGAACCGAAGCTATGTTATAATAAGAGATAGACTGAAATCAGCTTTGTATCAGGAGATAAGGTGTGGTTGTATAATCCCAGGAAGACCAAAGGGAAGTCTCCTAAGTTCTCTTCTCCATGGGAAGGCCCATATGATATAATGGATCGTCTCTCGGACATGACTTTCCGAATAAAATGTGATCGGCGAGGTAAGCCAAAGGTGGTGCATGCCAACAGGCTTTGGCGTTATCATGGTCCAGGACATTTCAGTTGGAAAGAAGTGAACAATGGAACAAATGACGCCTGAAAAAGCCACTGTCGAAGAAGAAACTCTACTCGGTTTTGAGAAGGGAAACAGTGAAGCCCTTAATGAAGTTACTACCACTGATGTGACTGTTATCGATAATAGAACATTTCCTGATGAAGCAGATGAACCCCACATGAAGCAGAAGCCAGTGAGACGGGGAGCAGTATGGATGAAGATACGTACTGCAAAATTAAGAGACTTTGTTGAATTTCAATTTTGTGTTTGTAAATTCTGTACATTTAATCAAGTTATTGTTAATTATCTATTGGTTTAATGAAGTGGCTATTGTTCGGGACGGACAATACTAAGGAAGGGGTAGTGTTACGACAGCGGAAGTCACGCAACGCTGGGAGCATGTGCGCTGGAGTTTCTAGAAGGATCGTGACTTATCGGGCAACCTCACGAATGTCCCAGCGTTTGCTAGACGCCTTTTTTATTAGTATATAAGCCAGAGATAGATTGAAGAGAAATAATTGATAATTGAGTCAAGCGAGCAGTAGGCACTGTAAGTAAAGTGTATGAATCACTGTGAATTATAGCGTGTGTTTATAAAAGTAGTTAAGTTAAAGGGACTGTGGA